GGGATGTATTGTTTCATTGCATATGGATTATGAAGAGATCATAAGTTATCTCAGAGCTGAGCATTCAGCATCTATATCTGGAAGCAAAGACATGTCTAACTCTTAGCAGGGAACAAGAAAAACAGCCCATGAATCTAATAAGGGCCAAAATTTTGAAAAAAAATAGGATGAGAAACAAACTGTGTAACTGATGAAGGAATCTGAGATGATGGTTTATTTGACTATAGGGATGAACAATTTTTATACAGCAGAGCAGAAAATAAAAAAAAATAAACAAACAGTTAACTTGCTCTTTCCTGGCATTATAAGACTTTAAACATTGTCGTTTCAGGTTTCATTAACTTCATTATTTTCCTGAAGTATATGCATTTTTTGCTGCTATTTATTAACCAGCCAATAACGATGGTATTAATTCAATTAGCACTGCTGTTTGCATTGGGAGATGAAGGTGGTGAGGGCTGTTAATGCCTTCACAGTGATGTGAATTCAAAAAATACCATCGCAGCTGCAGAAGTGTTTGCTTCCATGGAAATCTCTCTTGTACCTGAGCTGCAGACAAGCTGAGGCAAGGTTAACCTGCAAGACTTATATGACACAGAACAGTCAAAACCTGCACTGAAGAACCAACAGTCTCTGTTGCATTGTGGAAGTAATACAGCAACAATCTTTGTCAGATGACTACCTTTCCTCCCATGTTTTCACTGGATGAAATGAAGAACAGAAGATTTTGAATGCTTGTCCAAGTCAGTTACAAATTTGGATACAAATCAAACCAACTTGTCTCCACTTCAATCTCATATAAAAACTCTATAATGTAATAAATTTTATAGATGTCTAAAAAATATACACTTCTAAATTAAGAAGTACTTAAATTACTTATTGTGTTATTCTCTATTGTCTAACCCAATTAAACTCACATTCAAGATTAAATTATGGCTGGCTCATGTTATTGAGACGAAGACACCTCAGTGCTATTGCTTCAAACTTTGCTCTGATGGCATCCCTTGTATACAAATCTGACAGGAATTAAGTTACATGCATTTCTTTGTTCAGCTGGCAGATCCATGAGACTCTGGTGGGCAAAAATAATAAAATGCGTGGGTCCATATTCAACAAGATTTGCTTTGACATGATTCTCATTTTATGCACTAGGATACTGCATTGTCTTCTTGAACTACAACCATGCCCTAAGCATTCATCTCTGACAACAGCAAAACACACTGATTCACAAAATCTGTCAAGATTAGATTTAGGCTGACAAAAGAGAAATAAGTTAAATTGTATAATACTTATATCAAAATCCTTTGAGAATGTTGATGTGGCCCTGCTAGCAAAGCTATAGTCACAGCTTTTTCACTTTTCCCAACATTCTCATTTCTTCTCAGCACAATTGATCCTTCAGTATTTTCACCCTTGGCCTAAGAACTGCTTGTGTTTGAACTGTGGAAAGTATTATGCTGAGGAAAAACATTAAAACATATTTAACTGCAATTATGTGGCAAGAACTAGTACTCAAAAAAAGTGCAATGGGGGATTATGTGTTTATTAGCAGTTGCAGTTCACATCTGCTCTATTCACAAAAACACGGGAGGAAAAGACGTTATTTCTAACTGCTACTTTTTCAGAATCAACCTGGGACTTTACTTGATCTGTTTTTGCATTACTAAAAGTTACTGTAAATTGTAGCTCAGTAATTCTATTGATATGTGAATCAGCACCTACAATAAACCCTTCAACTACCTTATCTGCCAGGGATGCAAGTAACAGTAATTGTTGAATAATATTCTCTAAATTTCACTTTACTTTGGGGTTTGCCAAGTGGTTATAAAATAGCCTGCTATTTGCATAATCATTTTTTACAAGACAACAAGTATGTGGTGAGGATTTAATCCCAGATGAAAAAAATGAGGAACTGCTATAATCTCCAACAAACTGGCATTTCATCCTAAATGACAGGCAGGAATGGAAGAGGACTGGCATACAGATTGTTTGTAATGCACTGGGATGCACCAACTAGAACAACAACACATTGACAAGACTTTTATTCATGTCCACAGGACTTGGGATCAATGGTTATTAGGCTTTTACATTTGTGGCTAAGTCATAATATGGAGCCAACAAAGAAAGAGTTGCTGTACACCAAAGAGTGTCAGGTTTGGGTTTAAATGAGTGAATAGTTTGCTACTCCTGCATGGCCAGTGACAAGCCACTCCTGCTCACAGAGCCCCACTGGCCCTGCTGCAGCACTGCTGTGTCCACAGCAGGATAAAGGATGCTGCAGCAGTGGCTGCTGAGGAAGAGCTGAAGTCCAGCAGTGGAGGGTGGAAGAGGACCTATCAAAGACAAAAGCAATCAGATTTGCTCCAGAAATCATTAGGAATTGCTGAGCTAAGGTACATCACTTAGAAAAATGAATCCTGTTGATTTGAACATAGCTGCAGTTGACAGCACTCCACAGCCTCAGCAAACTGACCTAGCAGCAGGTTATTCTGATTTGAAAAACATACACACACACCTTTGCAAAACAGAGAGAGGGAGGGAGAGAAAGCCAACGGGTCCAGGCTCCCTGAGGGACAGATGCAGCACGGCTGGAGCTCCTTTTGTTGAGACAGAAACATTATTCCTTTAAAAATCTCAGTGCACTTTCTCTTATCCAAGAATACGCTTTCTCCTGGGGAGTTTAGCAATATGACTTTAGTGGCAGAAGATTACTGGGGCCCAGACACACCAAATCACCTATGATGACATTCTGTGCATTGCTTTGTTCTCTGCTCTCCAGACTTCCCACCTCTCTGGCACTGCTTCTGTGCCTGCAATGAGCAAGTACTGCTTAAAATGGTGTCGCAGATATGAAGCACTTAAGAAGATACAAGGATAACACCCTATTTTACTACTGTTTAAATTTCACCTCATGTATTGCCTCAAATAAAGAAAAAGAAGAATATTTTAATGAAAAGAATCAATTTGCCCATAAAATAAGTAATTGGATTCTCTAAACTCTACAGTCTATACACACACTATTGATGACACTTTAAACTCCTGATTTAATCGGCTTTTCGGTGTCAGTTTTTATTTGTATAATATCACAACTGAAATGAAAATTCAAGAAGCAGAAAACAGCTACACATGTTTGATGTTGTATGTGAAAGCCTTAGATATTTAGCAACTTCTTTGATGCTTTGATCTCTGAAGAAATCTTACTAAAATTATGATCAAAGGAATTTGTATTATTGCAAGTACTTAAGAACGAACCATCTTAGGGCAATAATCAGTATTCTGTTTAATCCTTCACCCTTGGAATCTATTATTGCTAAGCACCTCGATCTGATGGGAGTTACATTTACTTATGGATCATAGTCTCCTAAAACAGAGTTAGAAGCACCAGAAAGCAACACTTCCAACTTACAGAAAGAGGCAAGAATTGGATTTTATTCTTCTGGCTAAAAAGTGCTCTTTGAAGCCATTTAACTTAAGAAAATTGGTATGCAGCTCGTTATGAGCCCATGCAGAATTTTATTTTTCTACAGCAGACAAAGAAACAGAATTTCCTATACACAGCTACTTTTAATTTAATCTATTTCTACCTATTTCCTATTGTCAGTGTTTATAGAAGACTATTACACAGATGGATATATCTAATATTTATAAAGTAAATTAACACTCTACTTTATAACATGCAAAGGCAGATAAATAATGAAGTATCCTTTTCATCAACCTGACCACATAATGCCTATTTCACTGTAATACTAAGTACCACACCAGACTGGTTGTTGTAATCCCCCACGGTGAGTTAAATCAAACAGTGTGATACAAAGAATCCCTAAACTGCAGCCTACAGAACATTAGAGCCAGGCAAGATTTAACAAAAACGCTAATTACTGGTTAGATTATGGATTTACCATCAGTGGCTGATGAGAGGCAAAGGAGGATTGTACTTCTGCAGGAGCAGGAGATGAAACCACAACTCCCAGTCACAGTCTTAACCTCTCACATCCTGATGAAGCAATTCCTCCCCCCATTTTACCTGTGCAGATTATTTTTCTTCCTGCACACCCCACCCACAAAGGTGGACTTTAATTTCACAGTGGTTTCCTACTATTTATATCCCCATGCTCCATCACTCTTTAATGGTGAAAGATTCGAGCAGACTAATGTGCAAACACCTCTGCCTCCAAACACACTGCTGTAAGCATTCTTACGAGCTGACAAGAAAACATGCCTGCTCTAAATGAAAATCAATCACTAGTAAATCTGTTAGCTCCAGTGTGTTTGGACTGGCACTGCTTTAAGAGCTCACAAAGAGGTGTGCTGAAGCAGGAGTATCAGGGAATCAGACATTCAGCTTTCAAACAGGGAAGATGCAACAGGACTGCAAGCACATCTGAGGGACATCACACAGATGAGTGAGGCAGACACAGGTTAATCAAGCCTCTGACAAACCCTCTGCTAGGTTATCTTTCCTTTAGGAGGGGCTTGAGAAAAAGGCCTGTCAAGGGAATGTTTCCAAAGGCACAGGGTTAATTCATGTTGGAGCACTCTCTGTCCTGAGCTCAGCATTCTGTGCAGGGCAGTTGTTATAGACTCGTTATGGTTTTGAGCTGTTTATATCTACACCAGTGAAAAACATGAAGCTGCACAAACAAGGAGATAGTCCTCCAACTCAAGAATGTCACAGGACTCCTAAAGGCACTTGCACACCTACCTGTAGTCACAAGCTCCATGTGAACTGTGGGGCACAGGAGTTCCTCTATCCTCCTGGAACTGTGGACTCTAGAACAGTTAATCAACAACTGTGGAGCAACTTCAGGGAAATAATTTTGCCTCATTAGAGTTCATAACCCAGCTGGCACAACAGAATCTCCAGTTGCCTTTAGTACAAGCCCACCCCATGGCTATTTCAGGCCTACAATCCTGGAAACCATAAGATGCTGAGCAGTTCCACCTGGCAATTTTACCTTCACCTGTGCAACACAATGCTTTTATCTTGGAAAGTTACTTACTTGATTAAAGTGCTGAAGTTTATCAATTAAATTACTGATGAGTGGATCCAATCCTCTGACTTTCAGTTCTGGGTTATTAATTTGTGCCTTCAGTCCATTGGAAACAACTCTGCTGGTGTAACTGAAAACCAGAAAAAAAAGCAACATCAGTGACTGGAACCATATCCATTGCAAGCAAAAACTGTATTACAGAGCACATAGAATAAGCAAATACTTTGTAAATGGGAATAAAAATGTGTAATAAAACATTTATGTTTTTAAATATACCAACCAGAATAAAACTCAAGTTTCTTGCAATACCATTCATCACTTCCAACTATTCATGTCATGAACCAACAGCAATTTCATAAACCACACAGAGATTCCTTTCATCCATATTTTAATATTTGAACCTTTATAACCAATATTCTTAAGTTCTTCCATGCAGCAGTCAAAGCTGATAGCTTCCAAAAATTCCTTCTTTTGTTATTACAAAAACACGGGGAATTTAAGACAGAAATTAAACATCAGGAGATTGAAGCAAAACCTAAAGTATTATTTTGAAGTCAAGACTGGTAAGCATTGTACCAACCCACATCAATTTATTTGGACAATATAGCAACACTGCTGCATCTTACTTGGCTTTAGCTTTACCTTTATTCACATTCATGCTGCTTGCTGAATGCTCAACATTGTTCATCGTGTGAAAACACATGGTTACCCACTGTAGAAGTACAGGGACACTTGACACAGCTTCCTGAGATCATCCAGTTGCCATACAGGAGAAATTTAATTTAATGGGTCAGCTCCTGGCCTCCACTAGTCTGCTCACTGATTCCCTGTGTGTGCTGCTTTGTCTGATCAGAAACTCATCACCAGCAGCAAAAAGCAAGGGTTTTCCTTCTCACTGCTCTCCATTCAACACCTGGTTAGAGCTATTGGAATTTCTCTAGTGGCTTATGTCACTATAATCCAGGATAAGGAATGCAAAATTGCTTCCCCTCTGGGTTGGCTGGGGTGTTTTCTGGCCCATGATATTGTTTTTTCCCTTGTGAATCACAAGCCTCCATTAAATGCCTCTAAGTGGTATAACAAACCCACAGCACTGTGTGGAGTTTGCATAAACACAACCAGCTCAGAGACATCAGCAGCATTAATCCCAGAGTCCTCGGAGGGACCCAGAATGGGGAAAGTCAACCTCAGCCAACTAATACATATTGCTGTTGCTAAATACATACTCTATTCTACATACATCACTATCAGGAAAATAGGATCACTTGGTACGAATGAGTTCACAGTCCACAGAGACAAAGGGGATACTCATATCCTTCAAGTTCCACCCACATTTAAAGACTCACTCTTTGAAGCTCTAGAGATATGCACATTATGCACAGATATTTCTGTTGCTCAGGTTGTTTGTAATTGGATTCATCATGTAGGCTACCTAGATTTCAGATGTCAGAGACCACATGCATGAGCGGTGTGAATCCTGCATCAGTTCCTTCATCATCTTGGTCTAGTATAGCTTCAGTATGGCAGCCACCAACAGCTACATCTAACTGCTAATGCCAGGCTCCAGTGCCTAAGAAATGGCCCAGTTTTGGTCTGGAATGTGACCTGAACAACTGGAAATGCACAGAAAACCAACTAGAGACCTGGTGGTGAAAGATATGGGATCTGCCTAAAGAATGGGGTAAAAAGCTGATGCAAAGAGAGGGAAAAAGACTTACTTGCAGAGCAGAACATAAACAACTCTAGGGTTTTCCCACCATCATCTGTAACAAGCTCTGCTTGTCCTGTGTGTTCTCACTGAGAGATCAATGCTAGAACGAACCTGAGCCTGAAAAGACTCATATGAACTAAAAGACAGTGAGTTCAGAGAAGATGGGCTACACCTCTCAAGGAAAAGGAGACAGGGCAGAGAACTGCAGGAGAATTGCACAGCCAGAGAGAAGGGAGCAATTCCTCTGCCCATCCCAGCCAAGAACAAAAGACTATATTAGAAAAAGACACAATGTCCATCTGACCCAAACTACCACCCTGCAAACTGCAAATCCTTCTACTAGCTCCGTATCATGCTAAAATACTATGAAATAAACACTATACATTTCCTGAGAGATAATCTGATTACTTCACTTCTTTGCACTATCTAAACCATTTTTTTTGTTGACATCAGATCCTGAATTACTGGAAATGTACATTAAGTAAGATCAGAAATTGGCTTGCTTTATTTAATAACCTGCAATTTAACTGAAATATTGTAGTACAGAATTGTTAACTCTGGTTACAGCTCTAGTACTTTATTCAAACTAAACCTAGAAATGTCAGCAGAAATGGCCAGGAAGGTTGTATTAAAATATTGTCACTGGAGCAATCCTGAAAGTAACTGATACACTGGAGCCCAAGGAACAGCATGTGCAGACAGAATTTTCATCCAGACCTCAAGCCTCAGGCCAATGTTATTCCATTGATTGATTGGGCTGAGCTATGATACTGTGAATAAACAAAAGCAGATTATAAAAAAACCATTCCCCAAACCCAGCCTTTCAGTATTTCAGAAGAACAGGACTAACTATTTTAGATCTTAGCTAGCACAGCTCATCTCAAGTCTAAAAACAGGCAAAAAGTGAAATGCGGTTTATGTGTGGGATTTCATTTCAACTGAAGGCACACATTCTGATTTCCTATGTAAATAACAATAATTTCAGATGTTTAAGTCTGAACACCTATTTCAAAATAAAGCCAGATGCTATCCTGAAATGCATTTTTAATTCCTTATATGAAAAGGGATCAAGGTACAGGTTCCTTCAAAGACAAATATGCCTGCTTATAGAAAGTTTAATACTTTGAAAACAATATATAAAATAGAAATAACTTCAAATTCCAGGCAAATGACGTCAGGAGCTGCATTAGGGATAGATCCAACCAGCAGTGGTATTCAGCCACAAAAGTCCAAGTGCTGCTGTCACACCACTTCCTTCCCTCTTCCCTGCAGGAAGCCATAGCAGCTAGGACACTGTAGGCAGCTTTTCCAAGTATTATCAAGCAAGCTCCAGCTGGGAGACCATATCTATTGCTCCATATTCCTCAGGGTGCTATCACCCTGAGCAGCCACAGCACAGTGTTCCCATGTCTAATGGCATGTTCCTTTCATGAGTGAACTCAGCTCCAGTGCAACCTACTCACGAGGGATCATGGATAAGACCCCACCACATTCCATGTGCTTGGGAACATGCACTGGGCATTTCAGAATTATCTACACTGGAAATTCAGGATACCCAAACCTGAACTTCATCTGAATGCAGTTCTCTTAATTTTAGTTTTCTTTCTCCACTTGAGTGTTTGGCCCAACACAGCTGCACAAGGGGCACCAAAAATCTTATTAAATCATGGGATAAATGGGATATCTAACATTACAAGGCAGATCAGAAAATCTAGGCCTCACATTCAGTTCAGAGGAATCCAGTAACTGCCGTAACATCTCACTTGGGAGTGACAGTGGACAAGAAAATCACCACGAGCCTAGCTGCCCAGAAAGCCAATCAAATTCTGGGCTGCATCCAAAGGAGTGTGGCAGCAGGTCAACAGAGGTGATTCTCCCCCTCTACTCTGCTCTTGTGAGACCCCACCTGGAATACTGCACACAGTTCTGGTGTCCTCAGCATAAGAAGGACATGGAACTGCTGGAGCAAGTCCAGAGGAGACCACAAAGTTGATAAGAGGACTGGAGCATACAAGTGCAAGCTCTTTGTGACTGAGACTCCAAAAGTCACATTTCACCATTTACTTCTTCGGCACTATAAAAAATGTGATTGTCCTGTTTACTGTACAAACGTATAAACTATTCTGTAAGAAAGATAACCCCTCTGTCCCCAACAGAAGAACACAATAAAAAAGCTGCAGATTGGACCACCTAAAGAAAATACATCCTTTCTCAGCCTTCTAAAAATCAGCAGCCTGCCAAAGACAGACTAGTCTAGAGTAAGCCACGAATTTTATAGAAAAATCACAAAAGTGTTGCTACAAAACAAGACTTTGCAGCAGTCATTTCACATCCAGCTCTGTTGCTTTCATCTTTGTGCGTAACTTCTTAAACAGGAAACTATCCCAGAGATCCATGTTGCCTGTAAGCCCATCCAGAAGTGGATAGTACTGTGCAAATAGTGACTACAGGAAATTAAAGAGATGACTTCTTAGGCCCATGTATTTGACAGTCAGGCAGTGCCCACAGGCTCTCATTTGCTAAGCAAACTCTGCAGTGCCTGTTTATTCTAGGAATACCCTCAGCACACTGTCAGACACCACCACGGAGTGACTCAGATGTTAAAGGGTGAGGGGAGCAAAGAAAGGGAAGAGCTTTCAGTGTGCCATTTAGTAAGAAGCAATGAGAAATACAGATAAGCTACTTAACTGGCCTTGAGATCCACTGAACAACTAATTCAGTTACATTCAGCATGGTTCACCAGATGGTGTGTTTTGTCTTATATTTATTCATAATTTGACCCTTGGGCTGGAATGGTTTGCCTGAAATTCAATTATGTGAATCCACTGCAGATCTACAGCAGCCTGTGTTGTCTTCAAATTAATAATTTTTGGACATTTCCCTTGTAGTTTTTAGATGCAGCCCTTGGAGCATGTGACTCTCTGACAGTAGGGATCCGCATGGAAGGATTTTCTCCCAAATCAAGGAACACAGACCATGTGACAACTCGTAAGAGCAGTGACAAAAACTGCAAGATTACAGAATTTGACATAATTCATCAGGATTATCAGCTTTGATGTGATTAACCCCCCTGCCCACTTCTTCACAAAATGGAAAGAACAAGTGAAGCACAAGGCAACAGCACATCCCTTGCCTGGTTATCACAGTTGTTTGTCACTCAGGAACTCCAAGAAAGGAAGGAATACCATTTTCATGAAGTGTTGTTGATGCTTAAATATGATTGCCCAGGAGGAAGAGCCAGGCAGTGCAGGATTCCCCTTGGACTCAGCTGTCCCTCAGCTGCTCCACACAATGACACTGGTGGGGGGGGAGTCCCTCCACCTCCTTCCAATCCTTGTCACTATAACTGACTGACAGGCAGATTGTGCTTCATCTCTGAGCAACTGCCACAGCAGAACCACTCACAGAAATGTCTTGTG